AATTTGAATTATTTATTTTATAAATTTTTTATATATATTATTTATAAAAAATTAAGTTGCTTCAATAATTATATTTTTCATTTTTACACATTTGTTGCAAAAAAGAAAAAAAAAAGAAATGAGTAGTTTATTTAAAAAACACACTTGTCGTTCAATTTTTTAGAGACAAACATGATTGATTACGGAAGTTATGACATTTAAATCAACTTGGATTTTTTTGTCATGAGTAATATATTTGGCTACTCTCAAGTTGTCATCTCAACTTGAGAGAGCGTTTGGACTTGATAGGCCTATTTTGAGGTCGATTTCAGTTATTCGAAATGTTTACATTTTAGGACTCATTGAATAGAATATTCATACAAAAAATCAAAATGATTAGATATACGTAGTTATATGTTTTAATCATATTTGTTTTTAAAAAATGGACGACAAATATAATTTTAAGAATAACTATTCATTTTTTGTAATATAAATTTGATTCAAACATATAGTTACCGATCTGATTGTCTTATTTTTTGCATAAATATTCTACTTAACGAGTCATAAAAATGAATGGTCCGGATGAACAAAATTGGTCTAAAAATGAGCCTACTAAATCTAAAAACTCTCAAATTTAGATGATTAATTTTTAAAAAACCAAACCTATATGAAAAACCTTACAAAATAAGTAATTTTTTTCCTTCAAATAAATCATTAAAATGAGATTTATAATGAGCCCACCCAACTCCAATCATATCATTCAAACTATATTGAAAATAAGCCCAGACATATCATTCAATCTAAACTGAAAAAGTATCTATTAGATGTAAAGAATTGGTTTGAACTTTTTAAAATCTTATTTCTTTTATGTCTTGATATTATAAAAAAATTGGTTGAACTTTTTAAATCTTATTTTATTAAGCCTTGTTGTTATAAAGAATTAGTTTGAACTTTTTAAATATTTTAATGGCTTTAACATTGTCATCTTCCATCCCACAATTATTCTGCCAACATTAGATTCCAAACTTGCGTTGGCTTGTTAAAAAAAAAAAAAAAAAAAAAAAAAAAATTATAATAACATAATGGGTTGGCTCCTCTCCTCTCCTGTTCGTAATGGGACTAGTGGTTGTTATTGGCCCATGGTGGGCTATGCTCAGTACTCATATTGATGATTCAAATTATTTAATATGTATGGTTTATGAAATATATTATCTTTGTAAAAATTAAGTTGATTGGATATTAGTAACTATTTGATCAGATTATACTTGTGTCAACGGCAAATATTAAAAATAAATTATTGACACAAATGTGATTTTATCAAGCGACTATAATATAATTTTTTATAAAAATAATATACTTAACAAATCCTATACATTAGGCCTTCGTTTCGGATGTGCGTTGACTTTTTGGTTATTTTAGTTTGGGATTAAAAAGTCTCGTTTGGGATAGACTTCTTGACTTTTTTGATTTTTGTGAAAAAAAAATTAAAATGATTATAATTTAAATGTGATATTTTATCTTATTAAACTAAAAAATCTATTTAATCCTTTTGTAACTATTTTAACTCAAACTCTATACGCCAAACAAAGCTTAAATAGTTTAAACCATCGATCTATGCCCACCATGGGCCAACAAGAGAGTCCAATTTATAAATGGAGCAGCGAGAAAGCCTTTACCTAAATTGAAAGCTCTCTATTCTAAAAGTACACACTTTTTAGGAGAGAATTTATTGAATATTCAAATACTTCAAAAAGTTGAATAATATATAACATAGTCATTAAATAAAAAAATATTTAACAAACTCATCAATTACAATGATAAGTTATTAGTTTGTCCAAAGATAACGTTATGTGATACTTTATGTGGGGATATATTTTATGAATGACAGTACGTGGTTAAGGTGACGCTGACGTGTTAGCTGAGGTGCCACGTGGTTTGATCATGCGCCTAGATGATCTCGGCTAGGTCGAGGTTATTTGCAGAGATATCAGAATTCGAGATGAACGGATAAGGAATAAGAGTCCTAGAATGGGGGTGGACCTCAGTTTGGATAAAGATAAAGCTCTTACGGAGTTTATCTCTATCTAGCTGGGAGTCCAAGATAAGTAATAAGCCAAAATCCATTGAAGCTAGGCTTCTACGAGGATCAGGCTAGTGCTACCTATAAAAGTAAGGCACCATCGTGGGTCTAACGTATGTTCTTTATGCTCTGTCTAGTGAGTTAAACACTATTGGCTATCTTTGAGAGATAATTACTGACTTGATCGTCGGAGTGCTTTTGGGTGGACGAACCACTGCCGGATTCTTATCTTTCTGTGCCAGGTTGTTCGAGCTTAATCTATTCTGCCGGTACTTTCTTGCTGAGTTTCCCTGTTTGGTTGTGTGGTCAAAAATCAACACCCACACTTTATATGCATTGTGATTAGTGGAGCAGGTAGAACCTACAATTTTATGTTAGATGATTGAGAAATATGAAGAAACGTGGTGGTTTGAGATTGATAAGGAACATAATCATGTGGTGCCCTCTAAACCAACTAATAATTTTTCAATTACAACAACTCTAACGTTATTCACACATATAAAGGTTCAAACTTAAGACTACAAAACATCTGAGAGCTCGCATTTTTCGCTCGAGCATGCTTTCGAGTTTGTAGCCTCCAGACCTCTAGAGTAGACTGCTGGAGAGCTTTACTATTATTTTCCTTGATATCTTGGTGAGGTTGTTATCCCAAATGGAGTTATTTGTTATATCAAGGAGCTTGCTACCATCTAAACATCTTTTAGTTACTCATCGTTGGATTTCGAAGATTGAGCTTGAATGCTTTGAAGGAGTTCAAAGCTGCTCACCGTTGTAGATTCAACTCGGGTGTTGTGGATTCAACACTAGGCTATTCAATTCCGAGACGAAGACGTGGATGAAAGAGTCACAAGAGATGGAAGACATTCCTAGAATGAATTATTTGTACCCTTGTGTAATTTCATTATCTTCATAATGGATTGTTTAGTGGCCATTGGCCCGTGATTTTTTTTTTTTATCGCAATTGTGGATACTTCAATTGTGATTTTTTCCACATTAAATCTCTTATGTCAATTTATCAATTGTGAAATTACAAGGTAAATCACTTTTGTACATGCTAGTTGATTTATATTGTTCATTTTGTTCATTTGGAATTTGTCACAATTAAATATATTACGAATTATGAATCACTTAAATATATATATATATATATATATTTGGAGATCTATACTTGATCTTTGTTGATTTATTGATATTCACATTTGTGATATGTGTGATTGAATTTATTTAAAAAATCTTTCAATTTAGGATAAATTACATTGACACCTTCTGAGGTTTATATTTATTGCAGTTCCCCCTTTACATTTGGGAAATTACGCTGACCCCCCTTGTTAGTGCAATTATTTGACGATATTAACTTTTAAGTTAAAATGACATATCTACCCTTAACATTTACATATACTTTAAAGGGTAAATTACATAGACACCCCTGAGGTTTCAATTTAATACGAATCCTTTCTTGACATTTTAAAAAAAAAAAAATTAATAAAAATAAATATGAAGAAATATATTTAATTTGTAAAAAATTATTTCTAACCACTCATAAGATAAAAATTATATAAAAATGACAACTATTTTTTATTTTTTTATTTTTTAACCAAATTAATTTTTAATTTTTTTTTTCTAAAAATCAAACCATACATAACCTAAGAATTTTTTGATAAGTCATTTCTTACGTTAGTAACTTATTTAATTATTTGTTAATTTTATGATATTTTTACTATTTGAGGCTTGTTTGGTAACTATTTCGTTTTCAGTTTTTAATTTATATTTACAAAAATTTAAAAACCTGTCATAAAAACTTGTTTGATAATTTTTTTGGTTTATAAATGGTTGTCCCACTTTGTAAATTTGAGAAAAAACGTAAATTCAAAAAATGAGTTTACGCTGGTTTTTAAACAAAAATTTAAAAATTTTATTAACAATTTTTTTTTCAATTAATTATATATTTTTTTCAACTAATACTAACCGAGGGGGCAATTGGTAATGCTACTTTATTTTTTTTTCTAAAAATCAAACCATACATAACCTAAGAATTTTTTGATAAATCATTTCTTACGTTAGTAACTTATTTAATTATTTGTTAATTTTATGATATTTTTACTATTTGAGGCTTGTTTGGTAACTATTTCATTTTCAGTTTTTAATTTATATTTACAAAAATTTAAAAAACTGTCATAAAAACTTGTTTGATACTTTTTTTGGTTTATAAGTTGTCTCAGTTTGTAAATTTGAAGAAAAACGTAAATTCAAAAAATGAATTTACATTGGTTTTTAAACAGAAATTTTAAAATTTGACTAACAAATTTTGTTTTTCAATTAATTTTTTTTTTCAAATAATTTGTTTTCCAATTAATTTTTTTTCAATGAATTTTTTTTTTCAACTAATACTAACCGATGGGGCAATTGGTAATGCAACTTTAAACCTAGGGAAGGGGATTGTAACTTCTAAAATATGAGGGGTGTCAATGTAATTTACCCAGTGAGGACAAAATTGATATTTAAAAAAATTAAATTGCTGACATCAGCAAAATCTATTAGTTGACTTAACAGTCAACTAGCTGAGAGGAAGCAATCTATAATAAAATTTTAAACCTCAGAAAGAGTGATGTAATTTCTAAAAGATAAGAGGGAACTGCAATAAATATAAACCTCAGGGGGTGTTAATGTAATTTTCTCTTCAATTTATATATAAAATTCTTTAATTTATAATTATATTAGTATATTTATTTAAAAAATATAATGTGTGATTGAATTTAATTACAAAATATTTTATTTTTTTAAAAAAATATAGTTGAATAGATGAACTTGAAATTTATAATAATTTTTTGAAATTTATTTTATTTTTATTGATACTCACATTTGAGATAATTAAATTACCATAATGCCCCCAAGTCGTTGTTTCGGAAATGGACCTTTCTGTTCTGGCCGTAGTAGTAGCAGTAGTTCATCTACTCGCCCTCTCGAAAAGGGTATAGAGAGAGAGAGAGAGAGAGTGGAGGAATGGGGTGGGCAATCGCTTTGCATGGCGGCGCCGGCGACATCCCGGTGACTCTTCCACCGGAACGCCGTGTGCCGCGGGAGGCCACCCTCCGCCGTTGCCTTGATATCGGCGTCGCTGCTCTCCAATCCAAACACTCCCCTTTGGATGTCGTCGAACTTGTGGTAACTCTCTCTCTCTCTCTTGATCGCTCGTCGTGTTGTTATTTAGCTTCATCAATCTGATCACGCCGTTGAAATTTTATTAAGCATTTGATTCTATACAAACAATTAGATCCAATAGTTGTGTGTGCATCTATGATTTTATCACTTTCAAGTTGTTTTGTTTTACTTACTTTTTCAGTTATGATTCATAGAATTCTAGCTGATGAGATGCGTTTGGTTACCTAAGAGTGAAACCGAGGAAAGTACCATACCATAATACTCGTGACTTGTACGGAAAACCCATTATGCCATTCCTGTTCAATAAAGAATACAAGGAAGTAAAGGCAAAGCACAAAGTCTATCCCTTCTCTGTGATTTGAGCGCAAATTATAGCACTTTTTTTTTTCTCCATTTTTTTTTAATTTTTTATTTTAGGGTAAATTACACCGACCTCAATTGAGTTTTAGAGGGAATACAGTAAGTTTTATAATTTTGACATAATTACGTTAAGTGCATGTGAAATTTTAATTCATATAACACTTAGCTCCATTTTTATTAATAATTTGTTATTTATATATATGACAAAATGATGTTGTCATATCTTTTACACTAAAATGTATACTTTATGGTATCTATTTTTATATTTTCGCACTATTTGCATTAGTTTTAGTCTATTTAATCTTGTTAAAGGAGAGATTAGTGTAATTATATCAAAACTGTATAGTATTTTTTCTTCCATTGTTATTATAGGAGAGGCCTATTGTATTTTTTTCAAACCAGGGAGGTCACTATAATTTACCCTTTATTTTTTTATACCTTGGAGAGATACAAAGGTAATCTTGGTACACAAATAGGATGTTGAAAAACTAAAAATAGTTCTTTTTCCTTGGGGTTTGTCTTGACAAGTGGGTTTCCTAACTTGACCAGACATGTGTCCGGAACACCACCTGACCATGTGCCCTCCAATGGGTTTTTTTGAATTTTTTTACCCTGTTTCTTGTTTTTTGGACCATGTACATATTTAGCCCCTGCTATTGGGCGGACACAACCAACATGATATTCGCAGAAGACAAGGTAATTACTCTTCAGTGATGGGCTATGCCTTTTTCCTGTCGTGGCGATAGCCTACGGTCTTCCTCACACCATGCAAACTTGGTTTCAGATTAATATAGAGGGGGTTTGTGCTCGCTTATAATAACAATGGAAGAATAGAAAAAGCACTAATAAAATAGGGTATGGCAAAAAAATATATTTATTGTGGAGGCTAAGATCTTTTTGAACCCTTTTCTTTTCTGTGTCATGGTATCATAATTAACTGTGTTAAAGTGTGTCAGACAAATATGCATCATGCCTTTTTCCTGTTGTGGTGATGGCCTATGGTCTTCCTCACACCATGCAAGGAAACTTGGTTTCAGATTAATATAGACAGATCGTTCAAAAAAAAAACAAAAAAACAAAAAAAAAAGGATTAATATAGAGGGGGTTTGTGCTCACTTATAATAACAATGGAAGAATAGAAAAGCACTAATAAACTACAATAGGATATGGAAAAAATATATTTATTGTGGAGGCTAGGATCTTTTTGAACCTTTTTCTTTTATGTGTCATGGTATCATAATTAACTGTGTTAAAAGTGTGTCAGACAACCATGCATCATGTTGCATCTTACTCTTCCTTTATGGTGAATTGTATTCAACTTGGAGACACACAAAATTGGGAAGTATAATGGAATGCTAATTTGTAGGTAAGGCAAGAGCCTTTTTTTTTCTTCTCATTCTATATGGATGATTTGCGATTGATGTTCCTGGTTTGTCTTCAATAAAATATTTTACTGAATCTGGATTGTGCAGGTGCGTGAACTAGAAAATTGTCCACACTTCAATGCTGGTAGGGGGTCTGTCCTAACCAGTGATGGCACAGTTGAAATGGAGGCTTGCATCATGGATGGTAAAACAAAGAAATGTGGCGCTGTTTCTGGTCTCACCACTGTCGTTAATCCCATATCTCTATCTAGGCTGGTTATGGAGAAAACTCCTCATATATATCTTGCATTTGATGGTGCTGAGGCATTTGCAAAGGAACAAGTGAGTGAAGATTATATGTATATGGCTGCTGTCTCATTTTGTTTTGTTTTATTTTATTTTCTTGCTTCTTTATTTGTTACTTAAGTTCACAATGCTGAAGACTCCTATTCATGTAAGTTTAATCAACTCAGTGACATCATCTCAATTGTTCAGGATACGAAATAGATTAATGTTTTAGCAGTTAATAGCTCTTCCTGTTGTTGTGATTTTATTAATCTAGAAATTTTCTGATACATTTGATTAGAGCCTAGGGTTCCAATCTTCCAACACAAAATCCACTCTTCTAAGTTCCATAGCAATGGATATACAGATTGGGTGAAGCAATCTGCTGGGGTTATGTCAGTATTTAGAATGTCAAAATGCTGCCAAATAACATTTCATTTTCCTTTTTATTTTTTCTCTTTAAATCCAGAATGAACCTTTCTGATTCATCTTTCTCTCTCTCTCTCTCTCTCTCATTCTAAAAAAGAGGTAGTTTATGAGTCTACAATGATAGATATTTTCAAGTGTTTATGTCTGTCTCCTACTTTTGAGAGTAGTTTTTGTGTATGTGTCACACATCAGCTCAGTCAAGGATTGGAACTGGCAGTTTGATCCACTTGCTGTTCCTTTCTGGAACCCATCTACCTCCACTGGGCTAGTTCAGTTGTGCATTCATTTGATACTGAGAGGAAAGTGAGAGAATTGATCTTTAAAGGCGTGTCCTCAATTGTGTCTGTCCTGGGTTTCTCAACCCAACGCAAGTTACACAACCTAATCTGAACAAAGTTGCTCTGATATTTTTGAGCGAAATAGTGCCACTTTCTAATCAAGATACAATGTATTACATATTAATATTGGCAGCTTGCTTGGAGTAAATGACATATTTTTCTGAAGATTTTAACAAAGGAAAGCAAAAAGAAAAGAAGAAAAAAACCCCTCTTTGACATTTGGTATTTTTTAAGGAACTGCATCTATATTTTAATTTCCAATTGTAAATTGTTGTATCTGGTTCTGTTATTATTCCTGGTGTTATTTGTTTCTTCTCTACCGCTTCTTCTTCTTTGTATATATATATTGATTTGGTTTCCATTTTTTATGTATGCTAATATTTTTTGTTTATTTGTTTAGGGGGTTGAAACTTTGGATAGAAGCCATTTCATTACTTCAGAAAATATTGAGAGGTTAAAACAAGCAAAAGAAGCCAACCGAGTTCAGGTATGCTTATTATATTACTTCTCATAAAGTTTAGAAATTATAACTGCAGAAGAACAGATTTTTGCTTTCTACATTACAGTACCTAGATCATTCAGGTTTTTGAATAATCTCGGCAGGTAGAACTTTTTCAGGCATGTTTAATTATTGGATGAAATCAATCTAGTCTGACCTTGGATTTATGTAATATCTGGAGGATAAGGTCAAAAAATTATTCCCTCTTTTCTAGTTTCTTGTTGAACTTTCCTGATTCACTCCAAAGGCCATTTTCCTTTGTACCAAAAGAACTTCATAATACTTACCGAAGGAAAAAAGGGCTTTAGGATTGTTGTAGAGCTCACAACTTGTGTTACACTTTAAGCCCTGTTTGTTTATTCAACCAATATAAACATCATCATTTCAGCTTGACCTCGCATGCACATGATATTTCTTACATCTTCCAAACATTCTGGTCAGCTGAGAATAAAGCTTTCCCATTCACTTTGGAACTGCTTTCACAGGAAGCACTCACTTAGAAATCCACTTAAGCTCTTCATATTCTTTTCTGCAACATTTGCTTTTGGAGATCATACATAAATAAATCAATGAGAACTGGAATACGGTTTGGTATTAATATTGCAGTGTAGTAGGATAGGATCTACAATATGACTAGGGCTTGAGTTTGGATCTTTTATTTTTTATTTTTCCTTGGGCAAGGGTGATTAAAATTTTTTAGTGGGGAAATAGTGAAACATGCATCATTTTGGTGTTTAGGGTCCCCCCTCCCCCAATTCCTTTCTTTTTTTCTGTTAGTGTATTATGAAAAATGGTACAATGGAAATTAGTTTCTTTGGTTGTCTTGTAGTTATGAGCATGTTACCAAATGCATGATCAGTTTGCCTTTTTATCAACAAAAAGTTCATAAATTTTGAATGCACTAAATTTCTACTAATTTTTAGGGATTTAACTATGTTAAGTAAATAAACTTTATATTCCTGTCTGCTCTGGTCTCTTAATGTGTCTTTCCCTCTTCTTGTCAACTCAAATCTTTTTAGTGTAGTAGGTTTCAAATCTTTGTTTCTCGTTATGCTTTCCAAGAAAAGCAATATAATAAACACAAAAATATTTAGTGTTATAGAACATACATGTAGTGCTTCTCTTATAATTTGGAAAGAAAGTCACTTCAATGGACAAATTGGAATATTTTTTCTCTCCCGATTCTTCTTGCTTGAATCTTTAAAAATTGACAGAAATGCATGATTATTTGTATTTGCTAGAAAAATTGTACCTATAATGTACTCAGAACTTCATTAACTACATTTGTGCATGCTAGAGCCTATTTTCCTCAGGAAAGAACCTTTTAGGTTTGTTTGGATCTTGGATAATGAAGTTTTATGGAGGGAAAAAGTAAGACAAGTGAGAAGTGAATGAAATAAAAGCTATTTTTCTTCTTCTCACAAATCGAAGCTATTTTTCTTCTTCTCACAAATCCCTTCATTTTCTTTTCTTTCCCCAAATCTCTTCACAATTCCAAGATCCAAACATGACATTGAAGTCATTCAATGATGCAAACTAGATAATGACTGTGTTATAAATTCTGTAGCTAGATTATACACTGCCCACCCCAAAAGAACAAGCAAAAGAAACCATTGTTGCTGACGGGGATAGCCAAATTGGGACAGTTGGATGCGTGGCTGTCGACAGCGATGGAAATTTAGCCACTGCAACTTCTACTGGTGGATTTGTCAACAAGATGGTGGGAAGGATTGGTGACACACCCATTATCGGTGCAGGGACGTATGCCAATAGCTTGTGTGCAGTCTCTGCCACTGGAAAAGGCGAGGCCATAATGCGAGCTACCGTAGCACGAGATGTGGCAGCTCTTATGGAGTACAAAGGGCTTTCTCTCAAGGAAGCAACAGCTTATGTAATTGAAGAGTGTGCACCTAAAGGCACTGCTGGCTTGGTTGCTGTGTCTGCTAAAGGAGAAGTCACGATGCAGTTTAATACAACGGGTATGTTTAGAGCTTGTGCTACGGAAGATGGGTATTCTGAAATGGGAATATGGCCATCCGTGTGAAGTTAAATTATTAGGGTTTGGTAGTTTAATCATCGTCTTTAGTCTTAATAGTAACAACATTGTTAATTTATTAGGGTTTGGTATTAAAGTTCCATTTGAGGGAAGGATGACGAACCATTCTGTTCTGTCAAGTATTACTTTTGGTCTCTGATTTGATGGTGGTACATGCTAGGTCTTTTGTGACAATTCAAGTTTCCTTCTATTGTTAGGTCTCAACTTTGTCAATATTGGTCTCTGATTTGATGGTTGTGCATGCTAAAAATCAGTCTTTCGTGATAATTCAACTTTACTTCTATTATTAGATCTCGACATCTTCGTTTCTATCTTCCTAGTAGTTCATATAGTCTTTTGATTCCTATTCATTATTATGATGTTCCATATTCAAATAGCGGAGATTCATGACGGAGTATTGTGCTATTTACCAATGAGTGATGTTGTTGGATTAATCTAGAACCAAGAAAAATTGGTCTATTTTCGTTAGGGCTTCTAATATTAGAGCTCTTGCCTATAAGAATTCATTGATTCACTCTACTTGGGGCTCAATTTGAATAGTGTTTGGAAGGGGAACTGGAAAAATAAAAATATTTGAAAAGCGGAAAAATTGTTTTGATAGGACTGTCCTTTCCTATTATAAAATTGTTTTGATGGATTTTTCACCATATTCTATTTTATTTAGTACATCAGAGGAGAAAGGAAAGCGGAATCCGTGGCCTTTTAGTGAGAAATACAAATTCTGGTAATTGGACTAATCTCAATTGTTGAAAAGGAGAATTATTAATCAAATATAAAAAGATGAGAAAAAAAAAAAGAAAAAAGTATGGATTAGGGAATCTTCCTTACGCTCTATTTGTTTGGATAGGAAATATTTTTTACAAAAAACTTTTGCAGAAAATTTTTTTGGAGAATATTTTTCTATATTTGGTGGTGGTGGTGGTGGTGATGGAACAAAGGTGGAAGTGGTGGCGCTGATAACGACGACAATGGTGGTACTGGCCGTGATGATGGTGGAGGTGAGAGTAGTAGTGATAGTGTGGTGATATTAGTTAAACTTTAATACGAAAAACGTTTTGTGTCTTTTAAAAGTGAAAAATATTTTATGTCTATATAAACTTATTTTCTGTTGACCATAGAAAATATTTGTCGTTAACTTTCGTTTTCTATTGTACTAAATACAAAAAAATATAGAAAATATTTTTTTAAAAATATACCCAAACAAATTGAGCATTTTTTTTTTTTTATCAACAAAGAAAATGGAAACTTTATTGATGGGAAGATTAAAACAAGAACAAAATACATCAATAAAGGAGGGAAGTGCAAAAAGCATTATAGTTAATGCTCCATAATCCCAACTAGGTTGGCACCAAGGAGGAAGCACAATTATCTGCTAGCACTCAACTCATAGATTGGCGAAAAACCAATCCAAAAAAGAGAAACAAAACCAAACACAAAAAAAAAAAAAAACCAACCAACCATACAACAAAAGCAACCTTGACTCCTCCCCCCGCAAACTGCTCCAACAACTCATAGCTAATGCATTAGCAAATTCCTACAGAAACGAACCAGATGAACTGCCAATTGCCCCCTCTATCAGATGAGCAACACAAAAAATACCCCCTTCATAACCTTCCAGCCAAAACACCAGAGCTGCCCAAAATTACACTTTGTGACAAAATTCATTAATGAATACCTGATCTGTTGTAAGTTGGACAAACAGAGCAGCATCTCGGCATCTCAGCAGCAACATGACAAAACCAACATCACAGAACCAACTAGCAAAACCACCAGCAAAACAACCTCAACCTTATGCACATACTTGCTGCCAATGAGATGTTTCTAAGCCTATTAAACCAATTCCAGCAATAGCAATACCCAAACCCTTCAAGTTCTTAAATCCTTGGCTTTCACACCCTACCTTTATGCCTGGAGTTAAACAGCTTTGGGAGAACATTCGCGTGTCAGGATGGGTAGGGTATAGACTCATGAAGAAACTGAAAGAACTAAGATCTCATTTAAGGGTATGGAACAAGGAGGTGTTTGGTAAAATTGATTCTCTTTTAAAGTCAGCAGTAGAGGAGTTGCATGATTGGGATCTGAAGGCAGAATCTAGGTCTCTGGCTGATGAGGATATTAAAAGAAGAAGAGAAGCTAGAAGTCTGGTGTGGAAATTAAGCAGAGATAAGGAGAGGTTATGACATCAGTGAACATTAGTGAACATTAGTGAGCAAATTGAGCATTAATGAACATTGTTCCTATATCCTGTCCTAACTCTAACCTCGACTTTTATACCACTTAGGCCTCATTTGAGAACGGAGTATTTTAGTATTTTTTTTTATTTTTTTATTTTTTATGAAAAAGTATGTCAAAAAATAGAGAGGGAGGATCCAAAGGTGATGGAAAGGCCATGTTTTGTGCATATTGGTCGACTGTCCGGACGATCACCCAGACGACTGATGCAATACTTGTCTATAGCAGTTGTCACATTGTCTACCGCGACTGTCACCCTTGTTGGCCGCAATTATCACCTTATTTCCAGATGATCGATCGGTCGACCGGTCAGACAACCGACAAAAGAGTCCAAGACAATGAATAGATTAGATAGTGCTGAAAAGGAGACGGATAGAGTTTGCCATTGTCCTTTTTCAATATTGTCTTAAAACTATTTGATCCTCGTGGCAAGACAAGTCCACTAGGGAGGTTCTTTAAAAAGTGTTATAGATTGGACCATGTTGTTTGAGTTTGTAGGGTTTAGGATCATATTTTAATGATTTGTTTCATTTTTAAGATATTGTATGTAAATTATTTATAAAAAAAAATGATAGTCAAATAGATAATAAAAAATGAGCGTGTGTATTTTTTATAGTCAATACATAATAAAAATAATGAAATTATCATAATGTAATTATCAAATAGATTTGATTTTTTTAGAATAATTTATACACAAATAATTTAAAAAGAAAATAAAAATATCATAAAAATAGGACCGTAATAAATTCCACAACTTAGTACAATATAGTGGGACTATACTGAAGAGAATGTTTTCTAAAAGAATAGCGTCATGCTGTACACATTTTTTTGGGATGTGTACTATATATAAGTTATGATATTTGTGGTGTTGACTACCACAAGTATTATAACTTATTCTTCTCTGCTCATAACTAAAAAATAATGAGTCATAACCAAATACTACGTGATGTATTATCAAAGACGTTTTAGATCATAATCAAAATAATAGTCATAACTAACAATACAATAAGTTATAATCAAATAATAACTAACATCATAATATGTCATAATCAAATACTGCAAGTCATAATTAGGGCATATGGTACACACTATAAAAGAGGGTGTGTATTGTAAAATTTTTCAAAAAAAAAGGGGAATGCTAGGATATACGAACCGTGCTAAAGGCCTCGAAATTGGAGGCGCGAATTTGCCTCGAAAAGTTGTTTTGTCTGTTTTTTTTTTTTTTTTTTTTTTTTTTTTTTTTGTTGGTTTTTTTTTTTTTTTTTTTTTTTTTTTTGGAATGTTTTTTTTGTTTTTTTTGTTTAAAACCTAAACCCTAATAAAAAAAAAAAATAAATCAGCACAGCCTAACAAATAAAAAAAAAAAACAATTGGGTTAGATTGATTGGGTGATAAAATTGACTGATCAGTTAGACTGCTGGTTAAAATTTGTTAATTTTATATAATTTTGTACGAGTCCTTACTATATTTTTATTTCAAATAAGAAAGACTCAGAAGAAAAAAAACTTAAATCTTAAATCCTAAACTCTAAACCCACCCCTACACATAACCATCCTTTAAAAATAAATAAATAAAATTACAACTGCCCAATAAATAAATAAATAAATAAAAACAACCAAACTAACACGACCCAACAAATAAAAAAATAATAATAATAAAAAAACAACAACAAAACCAACACAGTTTGAAAAAAAAAAAAAAAAAAAGACCGATTCGAGCCACATTCGAGGCCTCAAATTCGAGGCCTCAATCTTTTTCCATGATATACACCCTCAGAAGGTATACCATATGTACGCTTATTACGTATTTTGTACTAAATGTTACATATTTTTTCCGGTAGAGTTATGATAATTTGTGATTTAAAAATAAAATTACGTATTTTGTGATAATATTACTTATTTTTTTAGAAAGTGTTTGTATAAAAAATATTTATTATTAATACAAAAATACGTAAGATTACCACATATGTGTAATTTCATACCCCTATTTATGCAATTTTGTTTTTTAATTATGATCAATTTTTTTCTTTAATTATATTATTATTTTAAGTATGATTTATGAGATCTTTGACTATGTTTCATATGGGATTTAAATATGATTTTTTTTTTTGGGGGGGGAGGGGGCCACTTCCCATTCGCCATGTCGTTTTCAATATAAAGATCAGTCTCGTTTGGAAATTCGTCATTTTAATTAATTTTTTATTTTTTACAAAAATATATGTAAAAAGAAAAAGTGATATAATAACTTGTTTTTACTTTTAAATGTTTTAACCAAAAGGCCACTCCCCAAACAGAGTCCGAATCATCTGTCGCACTTTCCTGCGACCCTCCATACGGTGGTCCAAAACGACGTTGTTTTGGACTTTTTTTATTTTATTTTATTTTCTTATTTTTCTTTTCAGCCTCATTTGAGATTTTGAACCCTAACCCCTCTTTAGAGAGGCAAATAGAGAGGCGGCGAACAGAGATTGGAAAAGGCCTCTGGGGGGATAAAAAATCCCAGAGTGAAGACTTTTTGTGCAGAGACTAGGAAAATTGAGCTCATTACCTTGTTTGAGTGTGCTGATGATAATGAAGCAACAGAGGCCAAGAAAATTGGAAAGAAAATTTTGATGATGACCATGAAATTTTCCTTGGCAATGGCAGCCATACTCAGCAGGTGCAACACATTGATGCTGCCTACATCCCCCTATCTGTTCGTCTCTCACCGCTTCCCCTCGCCTCACCGCCGTCCCTCCTCACCTAGAGGCCTCTTCCAATCTCCAGAGGCAATGTTTTTTTATTTTTTTCTTCCTGAAACATAAAAAGAAGAAGAAAATGGGGCTTTTATTGTGGATTTATTGGGTTAGATTTGTTGTGGATTTATTGGGCTTTTGTTTGTGCAACTTAGGGGAAAGTTTTCAAGTTCCCTAAGTTCAGCAATTTGTATTGGAAACATATCTTGCTTTATAGAAATGGTGGTAACCAGGATTTTGTGCTGATTGTCCCTATATTCAATAGTCAACAGCAAATAAATTTTATTGTGATTTGGTGGTACTTAATTTATTTATTTTTTCATCTCTTCAATTGCAGTTCATCACTCTATTATACCATAAAATTTGTTGTCACTACTTAATGCTTCTTTTGTTCTTTTTACTTATATTGGTAAATTCAATTGCATGACTTTTTTGCTTATTGTTTCTCTTCGAAGAACGTTGCATAGTATGCTTAAGATTGCTGTGGAAGTTGATGAATTAATGACTCTAGGACATAAATAATTTCCTCGTGCATCAGATAAATGGTGGTGGTGGTGGTGGTGATGGAACAAAGGTGGAAGTGGTGGCGGTGATAGCGACGACAATGGTGGTACTGGCTGTGATGATGGTGGAGGTGAGAGTAATAGTGATAGTGTGGTGATATTAGTTAAACTTTAATACGAAAAACGATTTCTGTCTTTTAAAAGTGAAAAATATTTTATGTCCATATAAACTTATTTTCTGTTGACCATAGAAAATATTTGTCGTTAACTTTCGTTTTCTATTGTACTAAATACCAAAAAATATAGAAAATATTTTTTAAAAAATATACCCAAACAAATTGAGCATTTTTTTTTTATCAACAAAGAAAAGGGAAACTTTATTGATGGGAAGATTAAAACTAGAACAAAATACATCAATAAAGGAGGGAAGTGCAAAAAGCATTATAGTTAACACTCCATAATCCCAACTAGGTTGGCACCAAGGAGGAAGCACAATCATCTGCTAGCACTCAACTCATAGATTGGCGAAAAACCAATCCAAAAAAGAGAAACAAAACCAAACACAAAAATAAAACCAACCAACCATACAATAAAAGCAACCTTGACTCCTCCCCCCACAAACTGCTCCAACAACTCATAGCTAATGCATTAGCAAATTCCTACAGAAACGAACCAGATGAACAGCCAATTGCCCCCTCTATCAGATGAGCAACACAAAAAATACCCCCTTCATAACCTTCCAGCCAAAACACCAGAGCTGCCCAAAATTACACTTTGTGACAAAATTCATTAATGAATACCTGATCTGTTGTAAGGTGGACAAACAGAGCAGCATCTCAGCAGCAACATGACAAAACCAACATCACAGAACCAACTAGCAAAACCACCAGCAAAATAACCTCAACCTTATGCACATACTTGCTGCCAATGAGATGTTTCTAAGCCCATTAAACCAATTCCAGCAATAGCAATACCCAAACCCTTCAAGTTCTTAAATCCTTGGCTTTCACACCCTACCTTTATGCCTGGAGTTAAACAGCTTTGGGAGAACATTCATGTGTCAGGATGGGTAGGGTATAGACTCATGAAGAAACTGAAAGAACTAATATCTCATTTAAGGGTATGGAACAAGGAGGTGTTTGGTAAAATTGATTCTCTTTTAAAGTCAGTTGTAGAGGAGTTGCATGATTGGGATCTGATGGCAGAATCTAGGTCTCTGGCTGATGAGGATATTAAAAGAAGAAGAGAAGCTAGAAGTCTGGTGTGAAAATTAAGCAGAGATAAGGAGAGGTTATGCCATCAGTGAACATTAGTGAACATTAGTGAGCAAATTGAGCATTAGTGAACATTGTTCCTATATCCTGTCCTAACTCTAACCTCGACTTTTATACCACTTAGGCCTCGTTTGAGAACGGAGTATTTTAGTAATTTTTTTTTATGAAAAAATATGTAAAAAAATAGAGAGGGAATAGAGGATGTCGACAAACTATATAATGATTTTTTGACTTTTTGATTAAAATATTTAGTCTCCAAACGAGACTTTAGTGTAATCAACCCTTGACCTTACCTGTCTCATTTAGTTTTACAAGTTATTTTTTATTATTAAATTTTAATAATGTATTTTTTATAATACAAAATGACAAATGAATTATAACAATATGCGTGGAATTGAAGAGTAAGAAGAGAGACCAAATTATGAAATATTCTATGGGTCCCCAAGAGCTCGATCTGCCTCCTCTCCAGTCATGTCTTGAACTCTCTAGCAGATGAAGACGCATGGTAATCAAGGATCCAAAGGTGATGGAAAGGCCATGTTTTGTGCATATTGGTCGACTGTCCGGACGATCACCCAGACGACTGATGCAATACTTGTCTATAGCAGTTGTCACATTGTCTACCGCGACTGTCACCCTTGTTGGCCGCAATTATCACCTTATTTCCAGATGATCGATCGAACGACCGGTCAGACAACCGACAAAAGAGTCCAAGACAATGAATAGATTAGATAGTGCTGAAAAGGAGACGGATAGAGTTTGCCATTGTCCTTTTTCAATATTGTCTTAAAACTATTTGATCCTCGTGGCAAGACAAGTCCACTAGGGAGGTTCTTTAAAAAGTGTTATAGATTGGACCATGTTGTTTGAGTTTGTAGGGTTTAGGATCATATTTTAATGATTTGTTTCATTTTTAAGATATTGTATGTAAATTATTTATAAAAAAAAATGATAGTCAAATAGATAATAAAAAATGAGCGTGTGTATTTTTTATAGTCAATACATAATAAAAATAATGAAATTATCATAATGTAATTATCAAATAGATTTGATTTTTTTAGAATAATTTATACACAAATAATTAAAAAAGAAAATAAAAATATCATAAAAATAAGACCGTAATAAATTCCACAACTTAGTACAATATAGTGGGACTATACTGAAGAGAATGTTTTCTTAAAGAATAGCGTCATGCTATACACATTTTTTTGGGATGTGTACTATATATAAGTTATGATATTTGTGGTGTTGATTACCACAAATATTATAACTTATTCTTCTCTACTCATAACTGAAAAATAATGAGTCATAACCAAATACTACGTGATGTATTATCAAAGACGTTTTAGATCATAATCAAAATAATAGTCATAACTAACAATACAATAAGTTATAATCAAATAATAACTAACATTATAATATGTCATAATCAAATACTACAAGTCATAATTAGGGCATATGGTACACACTATAAAAGAGGGTGTGTATTGTAGAATTTTTCAAAAAAAAAAGGAGAATGCTATGATATACACCCTCAGAAGGTATACCATATGTACCCTTATTACGTATTTTGTACTGAATGTTACATATTTTTTCCGGTAGAGTTATGATAATTTGTGATTTAAAAATAAAATTACGTATTTTGTGATAATATTACATATTTTTTTAGAAAGTGTTTGTATAAAAAATATTTATTATTAATACAAAAATACGTAACATTACCACATATGTGTAATTTCATACCCCTATTTATGCAATTTTGTTTTTTAATTATGATCAATTTTTTTCTTTAATTATGTTATTATTTTAAGTATGATTTATGAGATCTTTGACTATGTTTCATATGGGATTTAAATATGATTTTTGGGGGGAGGGGGCCACTTCCCATTGGCCATGTCGTTTTCAATATAAAGCTCAATCTCGTTTGGAAATTCGTCATTTTAATTAATTTTTTATTTTTTACAAAAAATATATGTAAAAAAAAAAGTGATGTAATAACTTGTTTTTACTTTTAAATATTTTAACCAAAAGGCCACTCCCCAAACAGAGTCCGGATCATCTGTCGCACTTTCCTACGGCCCTCCATACGGTGGTCCAAAACGACGTCGTTTTGGACCTTTTTATTTTATTTTATTTTCTTATTTTTCTTTTCAACCTCATTTGAGATTTTGAACCCTAACCCCTCTTTAGAGAGGCAAATAGAGAGGCGACGAACAGAGCTTGGAAAAGGCCTCTGGGGGGATAAAGAATCCCAGAGTGAAGACTTTTTGTGCAGAGACTAGGAAAATTGAGCTCATCACCTTGTTTGAGTGTGCTGATGATAATGAAGCAACAGAGGCCAAGAAAATTGGAAAGAAAATTTTGATGATGACCATGAAATTTTCCTTGGCAATGGCAGCCATACTCAGCAGGTGCAACACATTGATGCCGCCTACATCCCCTTATCTGTTTGTCTCTCACCGCTTCCCCTCGCCTCACCGCCGTCCCTTCTCGCCTAGAGGCCTCATCCAATCTCCAGAGGCAATGTTTTTTTTATTTTTTTATTTTTTTCTTCCTGAAACATAAAAAGAAGAAGAAAAGGGGGCTTTTATTATGGATTTATTGGGTTAGATTTGTTGTGGATTTATTGGGCTTTTGTCTGTGCAACTTAGGGGAAAGTTTTCAAGTTCCCTAAGTTCAGCAATTTGTATTGGAAACATATCTTGCTTTATAGAAATGGTGGTAACCAGGATTTTGTGCTGATTGTCCCTATATTCAATAGTCAACAGCAAATAAATTTTATTGTGATTTGGTGGTACTTAATTTATTTATTTTTTCATCTCTTCAATTGCAGTTCATCACTCTATTATACCATAAAATTTGTTGTCGCTACTTAATGCTTCTTTTATTCTTTTTACTTATATTGGTAAATTCAATTGCATGACTTTTTTGCTTATTGTTTCTCTTCGAAGAACGTTGCATAGTATGCTTAAGATTGCTGTGGAAGTTGATGAATTAATGACTCTAGGACATAAATAATTTCCTCGTGCATCAGATAAAGATCTGACTATCTGAAAGTAGTGCTAATTTTGTGTTTTAACATCATTTTGATTCTTGTATCATCGCATTTCTAAAACACCGTATTGTGCTTATTTTTACTCATGTGCTTAACAGATTTCCTCTCATCACATTTCATGTGTTTTATCTCTACAGAAAGTGAATAAATTCACTCTTGACGGAAAAGAGCCAAGGGAAAGTTAAGTCAATGAATCCAAAGATTATCTATTAGATTGACACCCGTCAATGGATAATAGATGAAATTATATATGTTGTATAGGTATTTCTACTTTTTTATATGATTGCCATTACTTATTGTTTTTTATGGTATGTTGCAGCTAGTGGAACAAAACAATGTTGTTGATGAGTTGGACAACTATGGTTGGAAACAGAAACTGGGGATGCCATTTGATTTAGAACAAGACAATGCCATTTTGTTTCCTTTTTTTGGTGTTGAATGGTATTCATGGATGTAATTTTATTTTCTTAGTTGTTAGACAAGATCATACTGAAATTTGTTTGATTAAGTTGTGGTAGTGATCAATTTTGTTATTCTCGTATTTGGAAAATGTAGAAGTTATTGAAAATTATTTGTCTTGGTAATGCTAATAAATGAAATTAATATTTTCATTCCAAATGGATTATTGTATTTGTCATTTGTTAATGTTAGAGTTCAATTGTTAGTTAAATGAATACAAAATTTCCAGTTGAATGGATACACTTTGCCAATATATGGTTTGTTGCATGTTTAATGGAGAGAAAAAAGAGTTGGTTGCTTCAAAGGACAACATATCATTTTATTCAATCAACATGGTCATTGCGAATGTTAATCTAACTAGAACATTCATATTAATTTTAATAAATCATTCATTTTGATCCAATTTGATTGTGATCAATCCAGGAGGAGATCAAGTAAACCAAACCCACACATGATTGGGAAGAGATCAAAGAATCCACTTGAATCACACACCCCATGCTTTCTATCGAATTCCCTACTTGTACAAATGCAAAACAAAATGTGCAACAGTCCAGGCCAACCCCAAACCAACAAAGTTATTGTCAACATCACTAGCATTCATAACAAAAACAAAAAAGAACCAACCAATCATAAAAAAAATAAAAATAAAATAAAAAATGCATTTGCTCACATTAAATTCCATGAACTCTCAAAAATTGCACATTCATAAAGAACTTCATCCCTCTATCTCCAAAGCCTCTTGAAAAGAAATGCTACCATAATGTGACATCTCTTCCTCTCTGTTATGGTGTACTTCATTTACCTTCCCATGCATAGCCTCCCATGAATTTCATCATGTGACATCTCAACTTCTTCACATCTGATTGTTGGAGAGGTTTCAGCATGAACTCCTGAGCTCCTTCTACCAAGCATCTGTTCATGTCAACAAAATTGAAGTGAATTAATACATGGGCAACTTATAGAAAAAGACAAATTAAAATTAATAACTAATAAGTGTGCTAAAATAGGATGAGTGTAAGAGTGAGTGATTACTTCTTGATTCGAGTCGGGACATTCTCAGATGACACTATCACTACTGGTATCTCTTTCAAGTCCGATGATTCCTGTCATCCAGGAAAAAAAATAAAAAAAAGATTTTTACTTGGAAAATCATAGGTTCTAAGCATTATAACATACTTACAGATGCTTAATCAATGTGAGTTGTTGATTAATTATATAGCGACTCCGATTTTGACCCGTCACTTGTTGTATTCCACACTTGGGTTTCTATGGTTTTGAATGGTGATTCATGTCTTGTTTCCCTTGTCTCTCCTCTAGTTTGGTTATTGGATTATAGTTGTGCGTTTGGAACAAGTTGGTTGCTTGTTTTTTACAAACCTTTATTGCCCAAATTTTTGCTCCTCCGCTTGAGCGGCCATTCTTGTGTTCAAGCTTGCTTTGTAATAGTTGCTCATTCGCTCGAGCAACACTTCTTGAGCTCGAGCAGGCTTTGCAAACTCTCAGTACTTTACAGGTCTGCAAAACTACCAGGAGAGTGTTTTCTACGCTCGAGTGGCGTTTCCTACGCTAGAGCAGGTGGGCGCTCGAGCGACCTTTCCTGCACCTCGAGCGTTGGGTTGTTGTCTGCAAAACTTCTGGTTGTGTGTTTTCTACTCTCGAGTGGCAAATTCTTGAGCTTGAGCGGTGAGCGTTCATTGTGTCTTGGTGCTCGAGCGGCCTTTCTTGCGCTCAAGTGGAACAACTTATTGTGCCTAACGCTCGAGCGTCAAATCTCCCGCTCCAGCGGACTGTCCGTATATCAGATCGCGAAAGTGACATTTTATATCACTTTTTCATTCTTCTCTCTCCAAAACTTTCTAAAAACCTAGATCTTGACCCTCTCTCTCTAAAACACACACACACACACACACATATACTCTCTCTCTCTCTCTCTACATTTTGACCTAGATCCTTTGGGTTCTCTATCCTAGTGCCTTTGAGAAAAAGGTAGAGCATCTCTAGATCTTCGTTTGGATCTGAACAAAGTTGGGTTTGAGCATCCTTGGAGTTTCACCTTTTCTTTACTTGTTCATCTAACTTGAGGTAGGAATTTTTTACACTTTAATATAGTTTTTAACTTAGCTATTTGTTGTTGTGTAACAGTGGTGGGATTTGGGGATAATGTGAACAAACCTAGGGTTTGAGTGTAAAATAGAAAGAGGGGTGTTGATAAATGAGGGATAAATGATTGAGGGGTTTGAAAATGATGTTGTATGGAATCAAAATAGTCGATTTTGCTACTTGGTTGATATTTGAGAAAAAAAGGGGTTTGCCCTAAAATGATCATAATATTTATTTTGTCTAAGTAAATGAAATTGATGTTGTGAGCATGAAATTGAACAAGTTTTGAAATAAATAGTGAATTTGAGTAGATGATACGCCTCATCTTTGGAAATTTTGAATAAATTATCTGTCTTGAGATTATATATCTGTTTAGAAATAATTGTTTTGGGCTATCGGTGAAGGATAGCTATGATTGTTGTAGAAATTGCATGATGATTAGGTGAATAAAAACTAATCCATGGTTGGTTATCATTGAATATGATCATGTTGTAAATACATTGTATATGTATGATTGTTTGGGAGGAGAAAGGGGATGTACTCCATGTATGATTATTTGTTTAAATAGATTGTATATGTATGATTGTTTGAGAGGAGAAAAGGGATGGACTCCACTGTTTGAGAGGAGAAATGGGATGGACTCCATTATAATTAAGTTGGCCAGAGTGTCCTGGGTGAAAGTCTCGAAATTTATACATGGGTGTTGATCCCGCGGATGAAATTTTCGTAAAATGACAGATTGAAGTGTTTGTGTGTTGATGGTATGATTGTAGAACCAATGAGTTGTTGTCTCATTTGGGTTATTGAAAAATAATGAAATTGGCTCACGTATTGAAATGAATTGAAGGAAAATGAAATGAAATATAGATGTGGTATTCTATGACTATATAAAATGTGAATGTTTTATCCCTGGCGTTGTATATGCACCTTGCACTCATATCTTTGTTAAATCTCATATATTGTGTTAGATTATTCCTGCTTCCTATTGGGCTGTGGCTCACCCTATTTGGAAAAAAACATTTTCAAGTGACGGTGGCATGCCTCCACCAAGGCAATAGCATTGGAGGGACTTTTGGAAAGCAAGAGCTTCTTTGTTTTGTTTCACTTTTTGTATAGTCTAGGGCTTAAATTGTATGAGCTAGTCTCATTTTTGTTGTAACCAAGCCAAGGCTTGTAAAGGTGTAAACCTATAGGGTATTTATTTATGTTAAACTCTTTTGTACTATTAACTCTATGAAATGAAAGAACGTTACACTCTGATTCATGTAGTTATTTATTTATATTTTGGTTGAATCTATGGTTATATTCTGGGGCATTACAAATTGGTGAATGTTTAAGAGGGGTTATATTATTATATTATCTTGACTTTTTTAAGAAGCTCATATCCTGACATTTTAGGCATACAATAATCGGTAATTATCAAATTTACTTTGGAGTCCTGAAAAAAATGTCAATGTCAGATACACTCAACATCTTCTCCAAGATACATGTTATGTTGACAATTAATTTCTAGTGTACACTGTAGAAAATTATAGTGCAAGATCACAGAGTTCATTTGCCTTAAATCATTTTTCACAAGTGGGAATATTTTCAAAAAAGAACTATTTGAAATGAATGTGGTTTTTGGGAATGAATCTTTTGCCTTGATTTTTCATGTATCCGAGTCTTAAAAACACTCACCTCATCACACATGATGTGCAAAGTTCTAATTAATTATCTTAGCACATCGTGTGGGGGAGAGAGAATTGGAGTAACTATTTAGTGTAACAATGCTACAAATTAATCAAATGTCATGTTTTTATGTGATAGCTATGTAGACCTATACAAATGAGTGGTGTTAAATTCATTTCTGACATTATGATTCATGAAAATCGATAATTTTTTGGATTTGAGATATGGGGACAGAGGATTTCTCTGCGAGATTTTATACCTCCAATGATGCATTTTCTCTCTTAATACTATTGAATATAATTATATGTTCAAGTAGTTTACTAGACATACATATGTTGTAGTAGGTTATGAAGGAATACTTACACTACTGTTGATGGAGTGTTGTCCGTCTCCTAGGCCCAGAAATTCCAAGGCCCTTTGCCCATTCTCTGTTGTAGTCGCTGCATTACAATCATAACCATATTCTATATCAAAGGCAAACAAAGCTATTAAAATCCACAACAACTATATGCTGAAATGTAACCAGGGAATTGACTTAGCATGGATCAAAATTAATAGAAAACTAAAATTGAAGAGTTAAAGGTGAGTGATTGAGTCTACTAATTCCCCATATAAAGTTATTTATGAATTGAAAGATATATTGCGATAGCGGAAGATTTCACCATGTTTAGTTCTACAAAATTAAGTCTATATTTTGTTTTTCGTGTTTTTTTTAAAGTAAGTTTTTTAAATATTTTGTACAATTTTTTTAAAAATTATTTTAGATATACCTAATCAAAATATACTTAGCATATATAATATTTGTGAATTTTTTTTTTAAAAAAAATTCACCAAATACAAAAAAACATAAAAAAAATACAAAAATTTAATACATTTTTATATTTTATTATATTCAATGAATTTTTTAATTTTTTTTATACAAATTGTTTTACTTTTTAAGTATGTTAAGATTAAGTAAATCTAACATTTTAAAAAAAATTGATTAAAATATTTTAAAAAGTCATTACAAATATAAAAATATGAATTGAAAATTTTAAAAAATTATTTCCAAAAACTGAAAACTGAAGACCAGACCTTTTGAGCCTTTTGGCATGTGAGGTTGGAGCTATTTTAGTCACAGAAAGATAAAATATGTTAGAAAGTTAATAAGACAAAATATCATATCTAAACCATAATCATTTTTTTTTCCTCAAAAAAATTTAAAAAGTCAAAAAAACTCATCCCAAACGAGAATTTTTATTAAAATAACTCAAAAATTAAAATGTCAAAAATCAACTCATTAAAAATTTAAAAAAATTAAAAAGTCAAAAAGCCAACTTATCACCCGAACGAAGGGTCAATAAGAAAATCCTTTTTTATTTCTCTAGAGTTATTGGCTTGAGCCCAGT